CTCTTTGACACTCTGCCAAAATTCGATCTTGAACTTCTAGGCTGTAAGACTTGATCCAAACTATAGTTCAAACCTTTCTTTACAACTTTGCCATTGGTCACTAGCTCTAACTTTGCCTGGAACTAATTTTAAACTGAACCCAAAGTTGGAAATCCACCTCTGTTCTAGACTTGGCCAAAACCTAGATCTCCTCTCCTTGTCTCTCACTAGTCGCTGCCATGTGGGCCAGGGCTGCATGGCGGGACCCCATTGTCAGCCTCACATTCCTCTCCACACGGGCCCACTGTAGAACTCGCGCGCCACGCGTGTGAGCACGCGTCGAGCACGGGAGAGGGCGAGCTCCTCCTCTCCATCTCCGCCGGCGACCGTACTTAACCCGATCGGCCGACCAACTTTCTCTCCCTCTCGCCCTTGTCTCGTTTCGCGGAAGAACCGAGGTACCCCACCTCGGATTCGCCGGGAACGGAGGCGCCATCTCCGACGCCGGCGAGAGAAGTCCTCGACTCCGTCGCAATCCGGTGAGCCCCATTTTCGTTCAATATGCGCTCTGTAATCCCCTCTCAATGCCGTCTCTAACACCACCAAGAACGCCTCATTTGGTGCAGCCAATCTTCGGGAACGCGACCGCGTCAACTCGGAACACCGTCGCGCTCTGGACGCCGCTGCTTCGCCTTTGCTCGTCGCCCGGCTTCCACAGTTCGTGACAAGCTGAGCCACCTCGCCACGAGTTTCATCAACCCCTGTAGATCAAGAATCCCGAAGGAATCGACGCAAGGTGGACCACGGTGGGAGATCCTCTTCTTCTTCCCCAACTCCGGCCGCCGACGCCATTCCTTTCTTTCTCCTTCTCTGGTGAGCTTCGGCGCAATATTTTTCGCCTAGAGCTACCTTGTGCTGATCTAAACAGAATCATGCATCCTCTCTTTGCCGTAGAAGCCTGGGGGTACACCGTCGATGACGACCGTAGCAGCCGCGCCGTCGCCGAACCAGTACACCGTCGCCAAGACTTCGCCGAGCCGCATTTGCTGCTTGGTGAGCCTCCTAGTAGTCCCTAGAGTCCTTACCAAACGCATGCACGATTAGATCGAGCCTCAAAACTCACATGCATGTGCAAGCCGAGCTTAGCCGCCGCTTCTAATACCCTATCAGCCGCTATAAAACACCAAAGCTTGCAAGAAAGCCACCAATAGGTTCGCACAGTTATTCTCTATACTTTTTGTTTTGGGAGCTTGAGCTGAATCGCCGCTGTTCGCCGCTGGTGATACTGTGAAGCTCGCGGCTGTGCTGCTGCTCTGTTCTGTCCAGAGCAAGGGCATGGCTTTTGAAATTTAAAGACTCCCAGGAATGTATTAGCAACTCGAGCAGTCACTTACATATGGGGTCGTGCACTAATCTATAAATAACATAAAAAGCAAGTCCCTTTTTGAATAAAATCCTGGAACTCGTGCTAGGGGCTGCGGGATCTATTTCCCGAAAACCCAGGGGCTTATGCGAAAAATGTTACTCGCTGACTGGTGGACCCAAGAGAAAAATGATTTGAGAAAATTGGAGAAAATGCAAAACTAGTTTCCTATCAACTGAAAAATGACAGAACTTTAGAAATTTGTAGAAAATTCATCCTAACTCTAAAAATTGTAAACTAAATATTGCTTGAATCATATTTTCATGCTCTGCATCATAAAAATGTTTAACTTAGCAGAATCATAAAGATTTATGTCTCAAAAATCCGAAATGCATTTAGGACCTAATTAACATGTAAACACTTTAAAAATCTGTAACTTTGGATGTAAACTGTTAGATTGAATTTTCTTTCACTGAAAATCAAATTAACACAGAGCACACCAACTCCATAAAAAGCATTCATTTTAGAGCATGTTGGATTTTTATGTATGTTTTACTTTTGATTTTTGCATATGTATGTTAAGACGATTCGCAGCCGAGTCTTGAGGAGGCCTACTTTGTAGCTGAGCAAGGAGTGGAAGAGCAAGGCAAGCCCACCTCCCCTCTTTGATCACATTGAACCTATGATTTGGAGGTTTTTTTTTGAAAGTTTGCAACATATGCATGTCCATTGTCCACTAATCCATTAAAATCTTGTAAAATTTGTTAGATCAACTCCTTAACTTACATTATCACCTGAACTCCACAAAAGACCTTAACCATTATTCCAAACCTTAGGAACAATCCATTGTGTCATATTAAGAATGATGTTTGAGGTCACAAGTCTATAAAAATGCTTAGCCATGCTTAGTGATGAGTTTACTTACCATTTGGGGCTCAATTACATATATAAAATGAATTCTTTTATGATCTGGATTAAAATGATAAAATGTGATATTTGTTAAATAAAATGTTGGAAAAATATGGATTTTAGGTTTGTGCCTCATGTGGTACACATACGGTGTTTAGTTGTGTGCCGATAGAGCGAGAGTGTGCCCAAACCGATCTAAGGACTTTACTCAGCATCAGTTCATTTCGTATACAGTACAACCACACGTGCTAGTATGGGATAGCCCAAGCTTAGTAAATTATTTGTGGTTTAGCCTTACATTCTGGTAGGCCGGTGTGTATGAGTTCGTATAATTCAGAGGAGCTTCCTATTTACTCCGAAGTGGTAGTTTAGGTGACTAAGCATGTCCAATACAACGGTATTGTGCCACGTGGTGGGTTCCCGTTGTGTCCGCCACCACGGCGTTAAGTTTAAGGCGTGGGCCCGCCACTTAACGGTTTTAGGTCATATATCGAGTATGGCTTAGGATGGAGTAACACATATCGTGCTGGTGTAAGGCTAAATCATGAATCTTGGAAGGGCTTTGTTGTGAGTAATAAATCGTGTACTTATGTATCGCGTGCCATGCTTTTGCATGATTATTATTTCACATCATGTGGGTAAAGTGTACGTACTCTGCAGAGTTAAAACTAATCGATTAGCCGTGCTCACGGTCAAGAGCGGCGTGTGAATATGTCATGAGTATAGACATGTGTTTTATTCTTCTAAAGCTGAATTTGAACTTCAAAATGTGATGTGGTTTGTGGATTATATCCTTGCTACCATGGAAGGCAATAAGGAGCTATGTTATATGTGTTTAACATCTATTTTGATGCCCATTTGCTAAATGTATGCTTGCTGAAATTTAATTGAAAATAAATCTGAAATTTGAAATGCTCTTTGCAAACTAAATTTGCTTTATGCTAAAATTATCCCATGTTATCTCTACTTTGAATATGCCATGCATGTAGAGTACTAGGCTTGCTTGGTGCTTGTCAGTACAATTTATTTGTGCTGACTCTTGCTTGTATTGTTGTATTGTTGCATGTTTAGAATTGGTTGCAGGTGAGATCACTCCTGAGGAGGATGATTTTGATGGGGAAGTTTCTTTCTTCTAGGATGGTTCTTACTTGGGTTTACCCTAATCGGTTGCATGAAAGATCATTTGGGTAGAAGATGCTTCCGCGAACCTAACTATTCGGCCAATTATGTATCTAAGTTATAAGTTGTTCGAACCTAACCTAGAATCTAGAACTTAAAACTTAGAACTCCCTAAGTTGAGATATCATGTACTTGGATGAAAGTGTTTAGTGTGTTCCTTTTGTTAGGGACATATTAAACATGAGTATGAGTTAAAGATATTTGAGATGTTGTAGATCTTTAGCCAATTTTGTCAAGTCTTCTGATTGTGTAACACATCTGGTCGACGCCTTCGAGTGGTTTGACGGGCACATCTCAGGCTGAAGTTGACTGGCAGGCTAAAGGCCCAACAATGTCTCACATATCAACAATGTCTCACATATCTTTCTCTTGGAGCGTCGAATGTCTTAATATGTTTGATGGAAGAATTGTGTTTAGCTATTCATCCTTCAAATATACTAAGGGGTTCGGATGTCTTAATATGTTTGATGGAAGAATTGTGTTTAGCTATTCATCCTTCAAATATACTAAGGGGTTCGGAGTGCTTCCGACAGTAACTAGGTCTAGTGTAGTTACATTATATTGTAATTACATTGTATCTAGGATGTAACTAGAGTATAACAAAATGTAACTCATTTAACTTTTCAAAAACATGTGGCAGATCGATTGGCTAGCACATACGGCTTCCAGGATGGAGACCCGAGGTTCGAGCCCCTGCAAGCACGCGTACATATTTTTTTTCCCAAGTCTCACGCGGATCACACGGCCAGAAAATCAAAAGTTTTCGGCCTCCAAAACCGTCGACAGCTAGCTATCAAAACCGATTATATTTTGTGTACATATTATGCAACTTAATTTTCCATAGTAACACGGTGGGATATTCATCTAGTTTCTTATACGATTTCTTCTATATTTCCAAAAGCGAACGAACATAAAACCAACTTAAATACTTAAATACGGATTTGTATTTTCAAAAGTGAACAAACTTAAAAACCGACTCATACACGAATGACGTATCAAAATACCGGCAAAACTAAATTTGAAACATAAGTCAAATTATTTTTAATACTGTAAATTACCTATATTTACATAGTAATAATTACACCGTATATTTCTAAACTTTGTAAATTTTTCAATACACAATGGATAAGAGAATTAAAATTAAAAGTAATTTTGGAAGAGGAGATAGAAGCACACTTACATATAGAAGACAGAAATCACATACAGAAAAATTAATAGAAATTATGTGAAAAAATATGGCGTCATAATTTGAGCACTCCCATTAAGAAAATCCAATATTTTAAATACTGGCATATACGGATTATCTGATACTAGCTGTTAAATTAACCCAATTTTGTTGGGCTTGTGCCAACTTCTAAAGACCGATACTTGTTAGCTGCTTGGCTAGTGTTGCTGCTGTGGGGAAATATCAAGTAAAAACCATCAAATAAATGAAAATTGTATCTAAAAGTTCTAAAAAGTTACTTTTGATAGGTGTAGGCATGAAATAGATTTCTGAGAATGTGAGGAACACCTAAACTCTAATTGGCTTGCCACCAGCACATACATGTACATGAATGATGACAGAATCTTGAAGATATACAGTACAACATCAGTGTCGTAATTTAAAGATTTGTACAATCAATGAAAATTTGACAACACGCACAGGTCAAGACAATCCAACTGTTTATGGAATATGGACAAGTATGCTCCAGAAATACAGAGATATAATACTAGCTGCAAAAGTGAGATTGCCTAGTGCATTAGATTTCTATTATATCACATATCCAATTCATATTGTAAAGAATAATGATGTTTCTTTTACTTTATGACAAGAAAGCACGCACATTAGAAAATGTCTGGGAAAGTATGCACACAAATATGTCTGCATAAATTAGTTTATAGAAGATCAAGGGTGGAGACTCCTGTGGAGAACACCTGTACCAACTCCTGTGGAGACTGAAGAACACCCAATTCATATAACTGCAAAGTGACACAAGTGATTTCTTGCTACATCAGAGTTCAGATTTTGCTCTATGCAACTACCAGGTAACTGGCAAATGGTTAACATTGGTTTCTTTCACAGCTATCTTTCTGCAAAGATCAACAACCATCTATCTGTGTAGATTAGCATAATGATAAATTATTACAAGCATTTTCTGTGCTCCCACACTTACGGAACCGACATGATTAAAAAACAAACGCCGGCCCAGTGCTTGAACATTCTTAGTAAGGAAACCAAATCTAGAATACTGATGTTACTGAACTACTGACATTTGGACAACAGAAGCCCTAAATTACTGATGTAGTGAACCATGAGGAATTACCTTTTGCTGGCTTGATCCCTTTCGTCATTCCACAACATCTTTTACCTTCTCAACACCTTCAGAACACTGAATTCGGATGGGGCGTACAGTGGCATGGAAGGAGTGTTTCTGGAGCATACTTGTCCATCTAAATAACTGAAGTGACTGACATTTGGACAACAGAAGGCTTAACTGCGATAATTGGCTATAAGGTACTTCCTTTTGCTGGTCTGATCCTCACACAGTTCCACAACATCTTTTACCTTCTCAACTAGCTCCTCCAGACCATCGACACCAAAGCTCTCATAGATAAGAGTCTTCTTGTACCGTTGTTCATAGAGAGACTTGAAATTACCCAGTGGAACAGGGCAAGAGTAACAGACAAGAAGCTCCTGAATCTCCTGTCTGAAATTGTCTAGATGGCTATCGAAGGCATATGCTCCATCTACATCTGGGTTAATGTTCCGTTCATCCTCTGAGAAATCATCTGATGAGCTGCCCAACTGCTGACCTGTTCCTATAGTGCTTTCATCAAGAATAGAACCACCTCTATTTTCCTTTTTCAAAATAATTGGTGTGGTTGAATATTTCTTCAGGTTACTATCACCAGAATTTCGAAGGCAAATCACCTTTCTATGACCCTTCCCTATGACCACAAAAGAGTCAGCAAGCTTTTCAAAGAGATGAATAAGTTTAACAGCTCCATATTCTGATACATAGAGGTGTCTTCCAAAGAGTTTTAGATATTCTGAAGGAACACGGACAAGTGGAACAGATCCACCTGATAACTCAAACAACCGCAACAATTGGCCCTTCAAACCTTGAAGATCACCAGGACGAACCCACCATGACCGCTCATCTGGCAAACCTTGGTCTACATCTGGACCTTCATTCAAACTACATGCTAAATTATGTGACCTTGATGATGTGCCACAGTTCCCATCTGTAACTGTATAGAAAGCTTTGGATGGTTCTCTAGTGGTTTGAGAAGAGTTATAGCAATATATCTGGTTGCTGGTAGTTCTACCACTGCATTCATTTCTTGAAGTTCCCATGTAGACAATGGCCTCCTCTTCATTCTGCGTGTCAGGGAACGACCCAAAATTCCCACCATGTTGATATCCTGGAGGATCGGCAAAGCGGCGCCCTATGGATCTAGGGGCCACAATACCTTCACCACGAGCAAGACTAGGCCAGTCCCAGACGAAACTCCCAGCACTGCTCAATGCTGAAGATACAGTAACTGAGGATGGAATGGCCAGGACAATAGTGTATCCACGCTGACCAAGTATATGCAATGCAGGAGCAAAGTCCACGTCACCGGATATAAGCATAATGGATGATGGTGGACGATTGTCCAATGCAAATAGAAACATATCAACCAGTATAGCCTTATCAGCAGCATCTTTCCTTCCATTTGGAACATCAACAAGTTTGACTCCAGTTCTTTGACATCCCTCTCTGAGTCTTCTTGGGAAGGCATTGAAATCACCGTATGCAGAGAGCATTGTCACAGCACCCTTAACAACAGGATGTAGCCGTAATGCCATCCGGACATTTCCAGCAACATCTTCTGGTCGTACATCACTTGGAACAGGGCAGTTCTCAATATCCCAAAAGATAGCCACTGGACCAAGAACTGAAACTGACTGGTTATTTGCTTGAGAATGCTCCATATTCGAAGTGATAGCTAACATCATGCTTGGGTCTGATTCTGAAGCCATAGATTTTGGTGAGGGTGAAGCGACACGGCTAGCCATTGCTTTATCTTCAAAAGACATGTTATCTACATAGCAGAAGGAAGATAAAGATTAAGCAAAAGCCAAATTGAGAGATTTTAGGAAATGCAAACATATGATGTCTTCAAATCACATGTAATACATACAGAGTATGTACTTTCCTGCTCCTTAAACATGTGAATCTAGCTTTCAAATTTTATTCCTGAATACAAGTCATTTTACAATGTCGAGATAACTCCGTGTTGTTTCTCCTTTGTAATTTGTATATGCCTCTCATTCATTATCCGTATCTAAGATCAAATTAATTTAGCATAATATCTAAGAGGAATAAGTAACAACTGAAGGGGAGCATATAGCTTGTTTTCCTATGCATGCCTAGATTACAGCACAAAGTCCAAGAAAGACATCAATTTGGGTATGGACAGAGTAACCAATAGCATATTTGAGCTGTTGTCACGGTGTTCCCCTAGCTGTTCCTATAAGCAGTCCAAGCAAATGATTCATCCTATCAAATTCAGATAGGATATTCAAAGCCTTAGATGCCATAATTCAGATATTATTTCCTGCTTCTAAGAAAGATACAAAGTTACAGGGATATTAACAGGATTTCATGGCTACACCTAAATGCAAGTGTCTAACATAGTAACATAGTAGCAGCTGCATTTCTAAAAGATGCCTGGAGGCGCTCAGTTTTCTTATTCCCACTGAGCACAGATGTCATCTTGTCATAACACATAAGATGGATTGCTCTTCTCTCTTGTAGAAAAGGAAATATGTGATGGAATACATCTTCTTGGGTATGGCTGCACAATGCTCACTGGGGGCATGACACAACACAGTACACAAAAATTAGGTCTACTAGTTCCAAGAAATTAGACATGGCTGGCATGTGGGACCTATTGCTATCAAGTTTTACAGCAAAGAACCATAACATCATCATCCACCCATGTTCATAACAACTAAAGCCATCTGACTAGGCAGCTTAAAGGATTGAAAAGGGGTGCAACATAAACATGATGCACTAGTAATGGTCCAGTACTAGTGAGTTAATGACAAATAAACACAATGCAAGGTGCATAAGATAAGAGAAATGTCATGAACAGCAGAAAGCAAAGTGCATAGAAAGTTAGGAACAATCCTGCAATGGCATATTTTTGGAAAAGAAGATCAAGTACATTTATGTGTATTATTTTGTTCTTTGGTTAATTTTTTTAAAAAAGAATTAAAATACATACTCATTTGACAAATATTGCATTTTTTTAACAAAAGGAAAGCGACCTTTCAGTAATAAGGTAAATAGGACAATGAGTAATAAGCTAATATGTGCACTAACTTCAAGAAAGAACTAGCCTGTGAGAAGGAAAAGAACTTCACATTAAGATATCAAAGATTATTATCATCAAGCAAGATACCCACATTCAATATATTATAGAACACAGTGGGTGAACATAGTAACGAAGTTCCACGATACAGCAAAAAATGGTGCTTACATTCTTCCCAGCAGCACATCGTGAGACACCCAGGAGCGCTCAACACCCCAAGACCTCTATCTAGCTCATGTATAGCAGAAGTAAGCTCAAAATTAAAACCATAAAAGGATAATATCCCATGATCCTACAACTTTCTAGGAATGTTAATGCACATACTAGACTAGTAAAAACGGGAAGGAAATACGCCGTAACCAATTTTTTCGATCACATAACTGATTACTTCAGATAACATGCAGGCAAACAATAAATTATCATCAGGAATACAACCACATGCCTTAACCTTCTAGTGGAACAAACAAGGCAGTTTTTATCCAACATGAGCCGCTTCCTAAATCCTAAGCCCAAAAATTGAGTGAAGTCCATTAATAATTAACTAGGCGCTCTTGTGTTTCTCATGGCAGACGCGGATCGATCAAATAATCTCATCTGGAAACAAACTTCCTAGGAATGACAACACTAACTGAGAACGCAATCAACGATCCAAGAACGCAAGCAGACCGAAGTACTGGTCACAAGAGCGGATCAGACAGGTTAAGGCCGAACCCGAGAAGAAATTTCTAGCAAACAAGCCGCTACTGGCGCTCCACCACGCATCAATTGGACTCAGAGCGATTTGTATTAGCGAAATAAAACAAGAACAACAATTCCCTCAAAAGCTTCAACCCAAGAACGCTAGGGTTCTTTTCTTCCACCACCACATACGAAGAAAAGAATCCAATAACACCCCCTATCCTACAGGCGGCGGCGGCGGCGGCCGGCTCAGCAGCGCGGCGGCAGAGGAGGATATAGGAGAGAAGAGTACCTCCGATTGATTCGACCAAGGATGGAGGGATCGGTGAGACGGGACGAGCGGCAGCGGTGGGAAGGCGATGGTGTCTGGGGCGGGGGGGAGGCCGGTCGATCGGATGCTCCGGCCGGTGTGGACGGGCGGGCGGGCGGGGGGAGAGATCACCGGCGTTGGTCGCCGGCGGCGAGCGGAGGGCGGTGTCGTTGGTGGGCGAAGTGGATGAGGTCGGCGTTTGGCCGGTGGTGGTGGTGGAGACGTGATGAGAGGAAAAAGATCGGCGAGAATGTTGGGAGGTGAATTGAACTTTTGGTTGGGCCCACCGACGTTTCCCAGTTGAATTGGGTGGGCCCACGGAGCAGTGAGACGAAGAGAGTCGGAGAGCCCTAGTGGGCCTTCCTATTTCAGCCCGTGCGGATTTCTTAGTCTGGGCAGGCTTTCCTCTCCCGGCCCATCGCGGTTTCTTGGGAAGTAATGCGTGTCAGTTTGTTATTAACATACTAATTAATATTAATTGAGTTTTAATTATTACCATCTTGAAAAATATATTTATCAGATATTTAAGAGTAACTTCCATATAAAAGGTTTTCACACAGATATGAACATATCGTTTAGTAGTTTAAAAAACATGCCACGAATATCTAAATTTTTATCCAACTTTTATTGGAGAAAATAATCGGGAGTTTTGCTGCTAACGCTGTCGAGTACCACGATTTGAGAGTATGGACGGAAGGTCTGCTTTGAGATTAGGACTAGACACGTGTCATACAGAATGCAACGTCCTTCGTGATCGCGTAGTACTTCACTCTTACCAAATTTTCTTATGGTAGGGTGTGCCCTCTCCTACCACTACATGTACTGCTCCCTCCGTTCCAAAAAAAGACAAACCTGGTTTCCGTGTCCAACGTTTGACCGTTCGTCTTATTTAAAAGAATTATAAAAAAATTAAAAAAATAAGTCATGCATAAAATATTAATCATGTTTTATTATTTAACAACAACTAAAATACTAATTATAAAAAAATTTCATATAAGACGAACAGTCAAACATTGGCACGGAAACATACAGTTTGTTTTTTTTTGGGACGGAGGGAGTAGATCGCTTCCTAGGCTAGCCACGTGGCCGAGTGAGACTAGGCACTGCAAGAGTCAGGTATGGTAGCAAGTGCATGCCAGGCCCACTGTCCTGACAGCTGGGGGCCCATATGTCAGGCGGTCCGAACGATGGGCCGGCCCACCAAACCAAACCAATCCACTGCGGCGTCTCGAGCTGATAAAGGAAAACTCCATATGAATATGAGTAGTAGTACTACACTACAGTGTGCTAGGCGACGCAGCTTTGGAGCAGCGGGCAACGTGGTACGGCCACATGGCTATATATAGCAGCATCAGCTCTAGCCCCAGAGAGGACCAAGCTAGCTACTGCCCTATATATGATTTCTTTTTTACACTGTCTTGGATCCACTATTAAGGCCTTGCTTAGGTGGAGAAAAATTTTAGGTTTAGTTATCACTTCGGATATAAAGATATACATTTATTAAATATAGTATAATAACAAAACTAATTATAAATTCTGTCAGGAAACTGCGAGACGAATTTATTAAACCTAACTAATCTATCATTAGCAAATTTTTACTGTAGCACCACATTGTTAAATCATGGCGCAATTAGACACACAGTCTCGTAATTTACACGCTAACTGTGTAATTTATTTTTTTCCACATTTAATACTCTATGTCTAAACATTCAATGTGATGGGTGAAAAGTTTTTATTTTTGGAACTAAACAGGGCTGATCACTGATGCACTATCATCACGTATTCACATCCGTGGCATGAATGAGTGAGTGAACGTTTGATTAATTTTGTTTTTCATTTACATGAAAAACGCACACCACACACATGCACATGTACGTCAGTACATGCTCGAATGTGCACTCTTCTGATATTATAGTTAAAATTGAGTTTTTTTCTCTTTTATATTTGAGAAGATCGAAACAGAGGATCCGACAACAACGACACGGTTATGTTTATACTTGCCAATCCTAAGACACTATTATAGAAACGATTTTTATATACGAGAACCCTAATAGATTATAAACAGACGGTAACTGCACGCGTGCAAAAGGTGACCTTCGTTTTTGCATATAGCTTCTTAAGAGACCTGCATACAAAAATATATTTTCACATACGAACATCTTAAGACATCCCCAAACAAAAACAAGCTTACTTTTGCAAGCGGACCTCTTAAACATTTACATGTGAAAATACATTTTTTCATGCAAGTCTCTAAGAGTCTCTAAGGGGTAGGGTTTACGTGTATGTGTTATAAACAAAAGATAAGTGTGTGCGTAACATATGTATATAATCATTTACATTTGTAATGTATGTTTCGTGAAAAATAAAGAGAGAGAATAAAAAAAATCGTTCTTCCTTTCTTTAGTTGCAAGGTTTTCTTTGTCAAATTACTTGTTATCAGGAGAACAAACTGAGACGGGTTAGATCGTCTATGACCCTATTTATATGGGACTAAAACTTTTAAGTCACTATCACATTGAATATTTGGACACTAATTATAAATATTAAACGTAGACTATTAATAAAACCCATCCATAATCTTAGACTAATTCGCGAGACGAATTTATTGAGCCTAATTAATCCATTATTAGCCTATGTGATGCTACAATAAACATTCTCTAATTATAAATTAATTAGGCTTAAAAAATTATCTCGCAAATTAGCTTCTATTTATGTAATTAGTTTTGTACGTAGTCTATATTTAATACTCTAAATTAGTGTCTAAATACAGAGATTAAAATTAAGTAACTGATCCAAACACCACCATCCTCGTGTCTGAGAGTTCCCAATCGACAACAAGCAGATTCAGATTTGATCGGTGAAACGAGAGGGGAAGGTGACGTGTATTTTTTTTAAACATCTATTGGGATTAACAGCTAATTAAGAAAATAGGTCGTGTCAAAGAAAATCTGTTAAAGATATCCAGTTAATTAATCAACCGTCATGGTTTATTTAACCTGATTGCTCGAAAGAGACGTTCAGTTGTTTGTTGAGAGAAACGAAGACTTTCCGAAACCAATTGGTGGTTGAAATAATCCACGCTAGCTCGTCCATAATAAGGAACTTGTAATAACATATAATTACTGATCTAGACGAAATGAGTAAGCTAGATCATGCATGTCAGTACACGCAGTTTTCTACTCTCTCCGTCAAAAAAAAAAAAGTCTAATCATGGGGAGAGTACAAGTGTGCATCTATAGTAGAGAGTTGAGTATGTTTTATACAGTATCATCTACAAATTAAAAAAAGAAGGTATTAAACACCTTTACTTAAGCGCCCTGTATGAAAAAAAAAAGCTAAGTAATACGTACTCATCCTTTTGGCATAGATAATGACAGTTTAAAATGTGTAATATGATATACATATAAAACCTAATGTAATAACACTTGTGATGATAAAACAAACATATATAAATTAATAACAAAATACTATATGTATGAAAATGCGGCAATCAGCAAAATATATGGTGTATATATGTCTATATGTATCTCGGCTGTGTACATCCTGTTTATACATGTATAGGCCAAGGTTTTAATCTATTTTCTTAAGAAAAGAATGTCTACATTTAGCTAGTAAACCAAAATACCTGCAAGTACATTATTTGAGCGCAGAGGACCACTAAACCTAAACGACTAAACAAACCTCCCTATAAAGTGCATAAAACTTCCTCATATAGCATCCCGAAACTAAAAACAGATAATCACCACCACCAATGTGGACCCACCCATTTTTGTGGATAAATCATACACCTGGACTCCAGTCATTGCACTGAAATCAAACCAAAAATAAAAGATTAGAGTAGCTCGCAACTACATGCACACACATATGTACACATTGCCATGCCTATGCGTTTGTAACAGAATTTAGAGGAGAACATGGCCGAATAATTTTGTAGGGTTCAGTTTTGGGACTTGCTAAAAAACTGTAGCAAGTTTTTTTGTGTGAAAAACATCCAAATGTAACTATACTAAGAGTCTTTTGACTAGATTTTATAGTATATTCAATATTAGATTGCATATTTTGAGACAAATAAAGTAACTTTTATAAAACTATTTAGAAGTTATATATATGTGTTTCTAATACTTAAATGTAAGTTATATAAAAATTAAATACAATTATTTACAATGTAATTATACTACATTTATTCTGTAGTTATATTTAAAAGTTTTTTTAAAAAAAACCTACGTGCATCGACCGGTGATTAGGTTTTCAAGACAATGTTGTATTTTCCTTTTTTTTTTAATCTAAGGGAATGTTGAAAAAGATGATGACTTCGACTTTTAAAGTGGTAGAGATAAGTCGGAGTTGTTGTACTTTTACAAATTACAACTCGCTTTGCCTTCTTATATATCCCTACTACTACTACAGCATCATCTACTACACACATGACACATTCCCATCTTTCCAATGTCCACTTCCATCCCTCTCATCTAGCAAGCCGCTGCCACTTCAAATAGGTAGGTAGATAGTGAGAGATCGAGAGCGAGAGAGAGAGAGGATTGCATTGAGAGCTAGCAAGCAAAAGGGCAATGGCGATGGTGGAGGCGGCGAGGAGGGCGATGGGGTGGTGCGGGGCGGAGGAGGAGAGGGAGACGGCGTCGCGGAAGGCGCCGGGGGCGTGCCCGCGGTGCGGCGGCGCGGTGGTGGCCACCGACGTGGAGAGCTCCCGGCGGATCCTGTGCCTCCCGCTCTGCCTCCGCAACAAGAAGAAGTTCTCCTGCTCCCGCTGCCGCCGCGCCCTCGTCGCCATCGTCTCCTCCTCCGCCGCCGCCTAGCTAATTAAACCCCTGTAGCTAATTAGTTAGTTAATTAACCCACACTAGCTAGCTAGCTACATGATCGAGTTAGTAGCTTCTGCTCTGCTGTTGTTTCATTGATTAGCTAGTTAGCTTGGTTGTGCGTGACTAATCTGGTTATTACTAGCTGATTAATTGCTTACTACTTGTTCTGCTCATCTTTGTTTAGTTTGAGTAAGTTGAGCCAGCTGTTAGATCGAGTTTATAGCTAAGCTAGGTGGCAAAGCAGGGTATGTTTTGGTTGCGTCCTTCAGAGTCTGAACTGGAATGTCGTTTTAATTTCCTCCTCCTGCACTTCTGAATTTCTTTGCTTTTTGATTTTCTCCTCGTGTTCGTCTCTTCTTCATTCACGTTTGACGAGTAATGCAATGCTATCTCGTCGTCTACTAAACACGCAATGCTCTTGCGGTCTTGCCAGTCTTGAAAAAAAAATGCCCGTCTCTGACGTTGTTAACTTTTAACTATTTGTTTTATTTAAAAAATTAGTGTAAATAAGTAAAAGATATATGTAAAAGTATCTTTATTGACAAAATAAATTATCAAACATCATTTCTAAAGGTGGACAGTAGCGAGAGTAGTGAGAGAGATAGGGATGCAAGCAGGGCGGGTAAACGGGTTTCTTTTATCCCGCTTATCCCACTTATAATTTATTTTTTCTTCTAATTTTATATTACCACACGAAAAATATACTAGAAATCGGGTTTTTATGTGGGTAGCGGAACTACCCACTTGCATCCCTATAGAGAGAGAGAGAGAGGGGGGGATTGAAAATCTCCTCCCACACGCCTAGCTAGCTTAATTACTTAACCACACATATGATCAGTAGCTCTCTGCTTATTGTTTAATTAATTACTACTTTAGTTAGCTAGCTAGCTTGTGCGTGATTCATGCGGTTGTTAGTTAACTGGTTAATTACCTGCTCTGCTGATCTTGGTTACAGTAACTAATTACTGTTGAGTTGATCAAGTTTAGCTAGCTAGGTACTAGCAAGCAGGGTAAGTTTAATTTGCGTCCTTCAAATTAGTCTATGAATCTGGAGTTCATTTGAGTTTGAATACTCGCTTCGTTTTTTAAAAAAAAAGCCAACATAGCACTAGAACGTGACACATCCTCTATTTTAGATTCGTCTTTTAATGTGTCACATTTTAATAAAGGTTGATTTTTTTTATGAAGGGAGTACGTTGCTTACTGGAATGTTGTTTTGATCCTTCCTGTACTTGTTAATTTTATTCCTTCTAGTTTTCGTTGTACGTGTGTTCTCTTTCTTCCTTCACGTACGTTTCGAGTAAATGCTATCTCCTCGTCGTCTACTAAGGCCTAATTTAGTTCCCAATTTTTTCTTCAAATTTTTAACTTCTCCATCACATCAAAACTTACCTACACACATAAACTTCCAACTTTTCCGTCACATCATTTCAATTTCAACCAAACTTTCAATTTTAGCGTGAACTCACTACTAGAGGATTGATTTTTCTGGACGCAGTCCCCTTCTGTTTCCATGCGGATCGTAAGTGGAACCGCACGGAAAAATAGGGGACCGGGTATCGGGCTGTCGCCCGCACAGGAAAATCGATTTTTCCGTGCGGTCCTCCTAAATGAACCGCACAGAAAAATAAACCGATTTTTCCGTGCGGGCCTATTAAGAGAACCGCACGCAAAAGTGATCATCCCTCCTTTCCCTCCTACCCACTTCAAAATTTTCCTTTTTCCACGCCTCGGTCCCATCCCTCTCCTTTATTCTCTCGGTGCTCTCTCTCCTATCCTCTCCTCACGCGCGCCCCTCCTATCCTCTCCTCACTCCTCTCTCCTCTCCTCCCGCGGCGGATGTAGGTGAGGGTGGCAGCCCGCGGCGACGGCGACGGTGGCTGCCTGTGGCGAAGGCGACGACAACGGCGAGGGCGGCGGTCCGCGGCGGCTGCCTGCGGCGAAGGTGACGGCGGCTGCCCGCGGCGAAGGCGAAGACAGCGCGCGGCGGGCGTAGGCGACGGCAGCCGCCCCCCGCGCGGATCCGGCGGCGGCGGCCACCCCCGCGCGGATCCGACAGCGGAGGCCACCCCCCGCGCGGATCCGGCGGCGCGACGGCGGCGGCGGCCCTCCGACGACGACGGGAAGGCAACGACGACCATGGGAAGACGACGGCGACGACGACGGGATGGCGGCATATCTGGCGACGGCGACGGTGACAGGAAGGCGGCGGATCTGGCCACGACGACGACGACGACGGGAAGGCGGCGACAGCTAGGGTTAGGGTGTCGTTTTTTCAATTTTGTTTTTTTTTATTTTTTATTTGTGCGTGAGGGTGACATAAGCACCCGCACGCGAAAATCCGATTTTCGCGTGCGGTTGTGCCGCCCACACGCACAAATAGCGATTTTCACAAACGAACTGCTCCAGATGGGCCGAATCTCCGCACGCGAAAATGCGTTCGACCGCACGGGAAAACCTTCTGTGTAGTAGTGACTAAATACACCCTAACACGCATTAAGGGCAGTCCCAACCCTCCACCTAGGATGGTGTCTATGGCATTAACTACATTGCTGTCAGGGTTACGGGTTAGGTATACCCTTTACCCTTCGATATACGTCACATATCGGTATGGCATACCTACGCGTATACGGATACTCTCTGCATACACTAAGGAAATCCTTCACGGAGTTTACAGATGGAAAGAATCCTACTCGGACAAGACTGGGTCGTCAATATATCGTGTAGGGTCCGATGTCTCCGAGTTCTACTTGGAAACCGCCTGACCTGCGATATAAAAGGGACCCCCCGGGGAGGACCTAAGGCATCGAATCTCAGAGCCAACACAACTCCCACAGCCTACGAAGTCGGAGCCTGCAGGAGCCAAATCGCTGGAGATCTAGTCGAACCAACTCGATTACGATCTCGCCGGATCCATCGAGTTCTATCATTCCCTTTGTAACCTGTGTTTTCCATCATATAATTCCACATCAACTGGATTAGGGCTATTACCTATCAAGGGGCCTGAACCAGTATAATCTTCGTCTTCTGTTTGCTTGATGTCGTATTACGTAGACCCTTGTACCAACGTACCCTAATACCCTCTATATCCGGTCTACGAGTATCACCCGCCGACAGTGGCGCGCCAGGTAGAGGAACTTGGTGCTCAAGGTTCTACTACTATGTCATCCATCTTCGCCGACAACAGCGTCAACACCAACCTCCACCAGGGATTTCCTGCTTCAACAATGCTGGTGTGGACTCAAGTCGGCGAAATCGTCTTCCCGGTTTACACCACGATGCCAATCTCAGCCGATCCATCAATGACCGGAAACGAGAACGCAGTGGCTACAACCCAGAACGACTCCATGTTGAAGGATCCTCCCGCTGAAGCGGAGAACGGAACATCGACGACATCCGAGCTCGAGAAGGATTCTAATGCGGCAAAACCTTTTCGTTTAGACAAGAGCCACGAGCCGACGAGAATGACTTCCGAAGCGACAAGGTCATGGTGTCCTATCCACAAAACCAGGAAACACACTTTGCAAGCCTGCTGGGTTTTTCTCAACGTCCGCGCCGAAATTCGCGCCTGCAAAGAGCGTGGAATTCAGCGTATTTCTCCAACTCGTGATGTCTATTGTCCTATTCACAAGACAAAGAATCACGACCTCTCAAGCTGCAAGGTCTTCCTCAGCGCCACGAAGACGTCATCTCCTAAGGTCCAGCAATCGGGCATATCCCTTAGAGATGAAGACAAGGAACAAGGAACGACGCTGGTTTCAGATCGATTCGTTGGCGTAATCGACATCAGCTCACCCGAACAATCAGTCCTGCATCTACTCGAGGACTATGGCTCATCGCCAGCAAGTACGCCGCATGAGGTATTAGCTATCGACGGGACCAGCACGTCAGCACACGCTAATGCGGAAGCACAAAATCAAATGGCTACACCGGCCCAGCACATCAGGACCATCAACGCAATACTGAGAGAGACCCCTTACGATCCCGTTCTAAACGATGATCTCGCACAGTGGACAGAACGGCTACGTGAATCAGTAACCAACCTCAGCAACGCGTTCGAAGAAGCCACTGCTGTAGCGCACCTGGAATAGCCACTATCTGGCGGTGCCAATGGCGAAAATCCCGAACAGCGGGAGTCACCCCATCGAGCTACCCCCACCTCGCGGCACCGGCGATCTCCGCGACCACCTCAATGGCCGCCGAGAGGCATGACACACAGGAGACAACGGGGATCGCTCCCGACACTGCGACTCTTCACGACGTTGCGATAATGAAAGACGGGAAGGCCGCTCGAGCGAAGACCGAGACTGTGTTAATCGCCACGATCGCCGTGATCACGACGATCGCGAGAGGCGGACGCAGGGCGACACTGGTCGAGGACACCGCCATAATGATGGGGACGACAGAGATCGGCGCCAGGACAACAACGGAGGGCGGCGACAAGATTCTCGAGAACCTAGCCGACGTCCTCGTAATCCTACATCGGAACCAAGTGATCCATCATCATCGTCGTCTTCTTCTTCATCCTCATCATCAGACAGACATCCACGAAGGACACACGATCGCCGACAACCCACCTTCCCCAACGCTGGGTGTAGAGCTTTCAGTCGTTCCCTGCGTGATGTCCGATGGCCTGAGAGATTCCGACCCGGAGCAATAGAGAAGTACGATGGGAGCACCGACCCAGAAGAGTTCCTTCAAGTCTACTCCACAGTACTCTACGCTGCCGGAGCAGATGACAACGCATTGGCGAATTATTTGCCAACTGCGTTAAAAGGCTCTGTACGTTCATGGCTGATGCATCTCCCTCCCTACTCGATTTCTTCATGGGCAGACCTGTGGCAGTAGTTCATCGCCAACTTCCAAGGAACTTATAAGCGCCACGCGATTGAAGACGACCTACATGCGTTGACACAGAACTCGGGTGAATCCTTGAGGGAATATGTTCGGCGCTTCAACGAGTGCAGAAATACAATCCCCGAAATCACCGACGCTTCTGTAATTCGCGCCTTCAAGTCCGGCGTCAGAGATCACTATACTACCCAGGAGTTGGCGACAAGACGTATCACGACTACTCGGAGATTGTTCGAGATCGTTGAGCAATGCGCCCACGCAAATGATGCGCTGAGACGCAAGAACGATAAGCCGAAGACCGGGGGAGAGAAGAAACCAGCCACGGACGCACCCGAGTCAAGCAAGAAGAAAAATCGCAAAAATGGGAAAAGGAAAGCTCAAGCGGAAGTTCTCGCAGCAGAATACGCAAACCCTCCCAAGCGCCCAGACCCACAAGGTAACGACGCGAAGAAAGCATGGTGCCCCATACACAAGACAGACAAACATTCTTTGGAAGATTGCCTTGTTTTCAAAAAGTCGCTCAAGAAGCACATAGCATTTGAAAAAGGCAAGCGAGTACGCGTGGTCGAGAAGGATGCGGAGGCGGCTCCTCAGGAATCGGACTCAGCATATCCAGACTCTGACCTCCACGTTTCACACATTTTCGGAGGTTCCACAGCGTACTCCTCAAAGCGAGAATACAAGAAAGTGGAACGCGAAGTCTGTTCGACATGGCAGGGGGCTGCACCCAAGATGAAGTGGTCTGAACAGAAGATAGAATTTTCGGAAGAAGACCATCCCAAGACTGCCATCATCCCAGGACGCTATCCGATCGTGGTCGAACCCACTATTCGGAACATCAAAGTCGCACAGGTTCTCATCGACGGTGGCAGCTCAATCAACCTCCTCTTCGCCAGCACTTTAGACGTGATGAGAATTCCGCAAAGCGAGTTGACACCCACCAATCAACCCTTCCATGGAATTACTCCCCAGTCCTCGTCCAAACCATTGGGCAAAATTACGTTGCCTGTGACTTTCAGCCAAGCAAACAACTTCTGAACAGAGCAGATCACCTTTGATGTCGCTGAATTCGATACAGCGTATAACGCCATCATCGGGAGAACTGCACTTGCGAAGTTCATGGCCGCATCTCACTACGCGTATCAAGTGCTCAAGATGCCGGGACCGAAGGGAACAATCACTATTCAAGGGAACGCAAAGCTGCCGGTACAATGCGACAAGCGGAGCCTCGACATGTAGAACTTTTAGCTTATGTGGCACTATATTAATTAAGAGAGAGAGTGAAGAGAGGAAGAAACTGGGTCTCATGCAAGACACAGTTTTAACACGAGAACCTATGCACTAGACACTATCAAGTTTTGCATTGGGAGAGAATAGTGTCTTCATAATAGATGAGGAATAAATATGATTGGTAGAGAAGAGAGATGATGTATTTATTGATGGCCCACTTTAAGAAACCATGGGTTGTAGAGTGTAGTTTCTATTGTGATGTCTTATTGACATGGCACTATAGACACTGCTTATGGACACTATGGGTTGGGACTGCCCTAATGCTTTTGCGTGTTTGCGTGGTAATATTTGCTGAATTTTTCGTGATCTACTTCTGGCTAATCTGACATATCTACATAATGGCGATGTTTTGCCGACTTAGTTTTTCTGTTTTTAAGACATTGTGCTTGTTTGGTTTAGCACCCTAAAAAATATTGGTAATGTGCCAAAATCTGACACTTGAATAATTTTTGACAGGGTAGAAATATACATGAGTGCGTTTGGATTTATGTCAATTGAGAGCTAATGGAGCCATCGCGAATAAGCAAAACGACATATTTGCAAACGAAAAGTAATTTGTGAATAAAACTTTTATATACGTGTTCTTCGGATTATGGTGAAAAATGTTTTTGGATTGTACTGTGTCAAATTAAGTATGGGCAATACCAAACATTTGGCACTGAAATTTGCAAAGGATTTGAACAAAAAAAATTATAACTACTTGCTTCAACACTACTCTTGCTAAAATGCTGCCTCCGTCCCCTGCCTTTAACACCTACTCCCTCTATTATATAATAAGTTCATTTTTTACTACTTTCGTTTGTTTTATTTCATAATCATCGCATCATAGTTTATGTTAGTGGGAATAAATACATCGAGAATTGATAAAGTAGAGAATAATTGTATTGGGATTTGATAACATAGGGGTATTTTGGTCTTTTTTATGGGAAAAAAGAGATTATTTTGGGACAAAGAGAGTAATTATTATTGCTTCTTCTTCATTCTCTGATTTTTTTTTGACATGGCAAAAAGAAAATAATAGGAGGCCCACTTGTCAGTACCCACTGAACATTCACGGTGGAGACGGACCGCGTTGCGCTAATCTTCCGCCGGGATTACGCTACCGCCTTCGTCTACAGCAAGTAGTCTTCCTCTACTGTCTCAGGGGAGACCTTCACCGTCTTCCGTCGCCTTCTCACTGCTCTTGTCGGTTTTGGTTGGTTTTTTTTTTTTTGGGGGGGGGGGGTACAAGGAAGGTCATGCTGACATGTGGGGTCCACCGAATTTTATTATTGTTTAGATTGATTATGGGGTTTTTTTTGTTTCGTTTGAAAAGTTTAGAGTATAAAATATCTGGTTTTGGGTGGATCAAACGACGGCTATAGTTTAGGGGGTGAACTCGGACCTTTTCTTATTTTGAGACTAGTACAACCGTCGGCACTACCAACGTGGTCTTCAGCGTGGGCTCCGGCCCAAGATCTACCTGAAAATTATCCGAAAAGGAGAGCCCAATCTAAAATTTGAAGTGGCGGTTTTTAGCTGTGTTCGAGTTGTGCTGGGGTGACTGGTGAGGATCAATTTGTATCGCTGGTGCATAGGCTTGAAGAAATACAAGCGGCAGCAATACCTTAAATATGCAAATGTTGAATGGTTGAAATTACAGATTTAGTGCCAAACGGCAGATAAAGGACCATTACAGAATGAGCTCATATTTTTCCTCATGAATGTCCTTGATGCGGTATGTGTAATCTTGAAATGAACGAGACGGTAAGCAAGCCATCGATGGTCAATCAATCAAAATCAAGCAGTATTCAGGTTAAAAAAAGCCTTGTTTCAAAAAAAAAAAAAGAAGCGGTGCTAATAGAATTTGAAGACAAGGTAAGATTCATACAATTAAGCAGTTCTCAGTTCAAGAAAATTTGTCAGTTAGTTATGTTCGTTTCAGTATAGCTGGACTTGAAGAGTGATTTGCAAATTCATTTGCCTCATGTAACATTAACCTTCATGTAGCACATCACGGTTATAGTGCTTTTCGATATTGAAACAAATTGTGATGTAGTAATAATTTTATCATGTGTGTCAAATAGAATTAATCATCATGCTGTATTTGCCTACTCAGGAACGACCGTGTTTCTGTTTTTTAAAAAACAGAGCAAACATGTGAGACCTAATATTTACTATCATTATAATTCTCCCTAAATAGTACTATGGTGTGCCATAGCCCAATCAAATAGCAACAGTTTTGAAGAACAATTGTACTTGTAACTCATCAGATTTCAGTAGTCAGAAACATACTAAGAATGATGCATCAAATGAAGATGTTCTAGAATGATAAATCCGTGAGTGGTTGTGAGTTTGCTGGTTGTGGTATTTTCCACTGTGCCTTGATGGTTCAGATGTTGTTTTCGGATACATTACCATCATTGTCTTCATTTTCCACCTTTAGTCTCGTCCTGCGCAACTGATTGCGTGACTTCTCCGACGTCACCCTGGAAGATTACTGACTTCATTTTAAACTTGGCATATTGCATGGTACTTCCATATGGTTTCTGCAACACACACAAAAAAAAAAGAATCAAGATTGCTTTCATCTCTTTACTCTAGATAATTTTTAGTGGCCAAGTACTACTAGGTTCCTAAAAACCAAGAGTTACCAATATTTGCTTGGTGATTATTTGCTTTCACCTAGTATATATTACCAACTACGGTTGGTAAGTAATGGTATTATCTTTAGTCACCAAGGAGAACAGATATTGGTTACAACATACATTGAGCGACATTAAGAATAGTACCTCAATGTATTTGTTTTCAAAAAAGACCTTGGTAAAAAAAAGTACATTGAGCAACTTGACAGGCGTTTCTTCTGCCGGCCTGGCCAAACAAAAATACTACAAGCAACAGGGTCATAGTCATTAAGGTCTTTTTCAAAATGATACTAGTGGCTGAAGACCTTGGAAAATGGAAACAAATGTAATGGTATGGTTCCTAGGTAGTGCAGGTCTCTTTCAATTTACATCAGCTTTGATTAATTTGACACTTCTTTTTGCCTAAGTTCAGGACTACTGGTGCACACGCACGCGCGCACCAGTGACCATCCCTTCTGTGTTGTTTAAGCAACAAACATCTTGTCAAGGATGCAGATGATATGAGATGTTGAAAGTCATGAATTTATCTCCTCATATGAGAAGTTGAGAACCAAAGAAGTTCATTCTGCAGAGCACAAGAAAAAAACCCTCATCTTCCCTGGCTAAACAATGGTCCCTTATATCATCCCTCTATCCCTCATTCTGTTCATCATCCAAGCTAATCCTTCGACGGGAGCCCAGATCAACGAGACAACAATTCCTCAAGGTTCTCAAATCAACACGGTGGGCACCCAGAGTTGGGTCTCCCCATCGGGGCGCTTTGCATTCGGCTTCTATCCTGAAGGTGAGGGCTTCTCCATTGGTGTGTGGCTTGTCACAGGTGCAACCAGGACCATTGTGTGGACTGCCTTCAGAGATGATCCTCCGGTTTCCGGTGGTTCAATTCTGTTAACAGCTGGTGGTTCACTTCAATGGATTCCTGCTAACCAAGGCAGCCAAGGGAAGCTGATATCCGCCGCCCCTAATTCTGCTACCTCTGCTGCTATCTTGGACAACGGCAACTTCGTGTTGTATGATGCGAAAAAGCAGGTATTATGGTCTACCTTTGGCTCTCCGATGGACACCATATTACCAGGGCAGAACTTGCTTCCTGGCAATCAGCTGTTCTCAAGCATCTCCAATACCAACCATGCCACAGGAAAGTATCGCCTTTCCAACCAGGAAGACGGCAACCTTGTGATGTACCCGATTGGCACAGTAGACCCTGGTAGTGCATACTGGGCTAGCGGTACTTTTGGTCAAGGCCTCCTGCTCACTCTTTCACTAGACCTCAATGGCACCCTATGGTTGTTTGACAGAAACAGTTCATATACAAAGATGCTATTCCTGACAAATCAGTCACTGAGTACCTCCCCAGATTCAGAGAGCTACTACCGTCTGACATTGGATGCCGACGGCTTATTGCGACTCTACGCGCATGTGTTCTTCAAGAAAGGAAGGGAGCCCCTAACAAAGATCGAATGGTTGGAGCCATCTAGCAACGATCGTTGTGGTGTGAAAGGTGTTTGTGGTCCAAATAGCTTCTGCCAAGTCACTGCTAGTGGAGAAACCAGCTGCTCCTGCCTTCCTGGGTTTGAATTCTCAAGTGCTAACCAAACCACTCAAGGTTGCTGGAGGGTAAGGACTGGCGGTTGCACGGGGAATAGCTCTAATGGCGACATCGGACCTACAGCCACAATGGTCATGGTGAAGAACACTAGCTGGTCAGATTTGTCATACAACGTCCCACCCCAAACAACAACCATGGAAGAGTGCAAAGCAATTTGCCTCTCTGACTGTGCCTGCGAGATTGCCATGTTTGACACCTACTGCTCAAAACAAATGCTTCCTATGAGGTACGGCAAGATTGATCATAGTAGCAACACCACGCTGTTTGTGAAGGTATACTCCTATGAACCAAAAGGTCCTATGAGGAGGACTAGAAGTGCTATTTCAACTGCCATGTTGATATCAGGTTCTGCATTGGCCATCTTCTCACTTGTTGTGCTCTCAGTCTCTGTATTGCTCAGCAAGCGCCACCAATTCTCCAGGTACACAAGGGCTCCACAACATCAAGATGCTGAATTTGATAAGGAGAGTGTTGGCATCCGATCGTACTCTTTCCATGATCTAGAGTTGTCAACAGATGGCTTTGCTGAAGAGCTAGGAAGGGGTGCATACGGCACAGTGTTCAGAGGTGTCATAGCAAACAGTGGAAACAAGGTCATTGCAGTGAAGAGGCTCGAGAGGATGGCAGAAGACGGGGAGCGAGAGTTCCAACGGGAAGTGCGTGCGATCGCACTAACACACCATAGGAACCTGGTGCGCTTGTTTGGTTTCTGCAACGAAGGCGCGTACCGCCTTCTTGTCTACGAGTACATGCCAAATGGCTCCCTTGCCAACCTCCTCTTCAAGCCTGACCCTCCATTACCTAGCTGGAGCAAGAGGGTTGCGATCGCGCTGGATGTGGCTAGGGGGTTACAATACCTCCATGAAGATATAGAGGTCCCTATAATCCACTGTGACATCAAGCCGGAGAACATACTGATTGATGGCACTGGAATGGCAAAGATTGCAGATTTCGGCTTGGCAAAGCTTCTGATAGGGAACCAAACCAAGACCTTCACTGGAGTCCGGGGCACACGTGGCTATCTCGCGCCAGAGTGGAGTAAGAACACGGCGATAACTGTTAAGGTAGATGTCTACAGCTTCGGCGTGATGCTTCTTGAGATCATTAGTTGCAGGAAGAGCATGGAGCTTAAGATGGCCGGCGAGGAGTGCAACATCTCCGAGTGGGCATACGAGTATGTGGTCTCCGGCGGACTGAAAGAAGTGGCTGCCGGAGAAGATGTCGATGAGGTTGAGCTTGAACGGATGGTGAAGATCGGTATTTGGTGCACTCAAAACGAGCCGGTAACACGGCCTGCAATGAAGAGTGTTGTTCTGATGATGGAAGGAAGTGCGCAAGTTCGGCGTCCTCCACCACCGGCATCATTTTCACAGTCACTATTGCGCACTGGGAGCAGATGAGAAATCTGATTGTCTCTACAAGAGTACTTGTGTATGACAAGTATCTGAATGGATGGATGGTCCGGGTAAAAACATATGGTAAGGTAATTAACTGGTGCACACATAGAACAGAGACATGATCCAGCATGACAGGTAGTAATAGGCATTGCAGTAAGAGATGTTCATGTCTCTTGGAAAGTGTAACTGATATTTGATTAACATAAAGTGGAAGAAATCATTGATGCTACTTGTATAATTATTGCACTCCTTTTTACTGTCTCACATATAGGTGCTAAAGGCTGTTGACCCCAGGATTTTGTATACAAGTGGCCATTAGCATGGTATATAAAAACGATGACTGTTTTGTAGGAGAACAAAAATAATGTGTTCCTTTGTTGCCATTTTAACATGTTGATATGTTCCATTGACTGTTGGACACTATTCATTACTGTATTAGGGATACTTCTTGGCCATTGTTTCAGCGATCTCGAACACAAACTTCAGAATCATTCCTAATCCAGCAGCAATAACCACCATACTGATTCAGGGAGAACTATACCCTTCTACTCTAAACATTAATAACTGTTCAATTAAAAAGTAATGTCTACCTCCATATTACCAAAAAAGCCATGAGAACATGCTGCATCGCCAAATTATGGAGTAACAAAAGATATTCTGAATGTACTTTTGAAGGGGTACAGCCATACAGGTAAAATGGGTATAAATTATTTGAACATCACAGGGGGAATTGCGTACTAGAAGAAAAATATTAAGGCAGCCTTTGCATTTTTTAACAGAAAATAAGTTGTTTCAAATATTTCCAATAAGAAAACATCAGTAACATAAGCAAATATCTTGTCATTGTAGTTGTACTACATCAACCTTGTCACAACAACCAAACAAGAAACTTGACAGTTGACAGAACTAATTAAATTGCTAAAGGAGTTTCACAAAAAAAATCGATGTTAAAGTATACTCACATCCATGATCATTGATTATTGCATAGTACTGCATCCTCGTATCTGGATTAATTACTGATATCAGCATCATACTCAAAGTAATACGCCAGACAGATCCCAATTCGATCTGATCAGAACATACGAGCTTTCCATGGAATTGCTGGCCATAACCACGAAGGGGAACTTCACCTACAACCATAGAGGAAACAAGGAGTTCTCATTTCAATAAAAAAATAGATAGTGCAATAAAAATCCCAGACTCTACATCATATCATGCACACAGCCGATTTCAACTAAAATAGATGGACCATGGATGGATTCCTTCTTTAATAAAATTTAAAAATCTAAGCACTAATGCTTAGTGCTGCCTCCACTGGAGACCCGACCTTAAATTTGTTTTTTTTTCTCCTGGATGCAAGAATGCAGCTTAGCTGACCAGCTGCGGCGCTGCCTGGGTTGAATGTGTAGATGATTGAGCAGAACGAATGGCCGGCTGCAAGGGCCGCGGTCGCCAGTATGAAATGTTGGGAGAGAACGAACTGTTGCAGTCCTGCCAGTCTCAAATGTTTGTATTCCAGTATTTACAACTCGTCACCTGACATGTTCTTGTTTCGAATTTGTTTCTTCCCAACAAAATGGGCCAGCTAGTCATGCCAAAAGGTTTCAAAAAACAAAACATTAGAGACATTTCCCGCCCTCAATCAAATTTGACTCTTCTACCTGAATGAAATTAAATTTATGCAGTACGCACACTAACCAAAACTTTGTTCCAGTCAGCTACAGCTAAAATTACTGCTAGTTATTTTCAACACCCATGTTTGACCTTTCGCGCATCTTCTCAACGATGCAATTTCCTTGAGCAGGTTCTTAAACAGTAGCACATCCTTATCAGTGATCAGTGAAACAAGACTTATCAGTGATCACATCTAGGTTCTGAACATTTCTATTCTCTGTGAATTAGTCAGAACAGTTCTGAACTTGTCCATTTATCTGAAGCTTGAACGGTTCAGAAATCTATCATGATCTTTGCTTGCCCAAGGTGTTACGTGGGACTTAACCAAAATTTGCATACCATCTTCCCCAAGGTCACTGTAAACCGCAGCGAGGAAGTCAGAGGCCGCCGGGCGCTGGAGTCTCACTCAGCTACGTACAACAAACTCCCTTAAATAAATTGTTGCAAGCCATACGAATTACTACTGCAATTAACTCAGCATTATGTGGTCTCTCACACTTGTATTCACGATAGCTGATTTTCAACCAAATTCACAAATTAGCAAACAAGGAAAGCATTATGTGTTTACATAGAAACTTGTATTCATGATAGCTGATGTTCAACAGTGATCTACATAGAAACTTGGCAGGTTGTGACAATTATCTGTGAAGAAATTTTGCAGAGGATATTGTGCTGATCCATTCCTGCACTAAGGAACCAAAATGGGAGTTTGTTAAAAAAAAATCAAATTGGCAAGCATTATGTGATTTCTCAAACCTGTATTCATGATAGAATTACCGACTATGTTAGCTGTAGCTGATGTTCAACGAAATTGGCAAGCATGATTATAACCAAGGATTCAACAAAAAAAAGAGAGAATAATTTCAAAAAAGCAAAGCGCTAATGTCTAACGCTGCCTCCACCAGAGGCCCGACTGTGTGCCTCTATAGGGCATCTTTTTTTTTTTATGGATGCAAGCTAACCGGCAGGGGGTCGCCTGCCGTGCCCAAGTAGGGATCTTTTCACTGCTCCATTTTTCTTTATTTTTTTTTCTTGCAGCTGACCGGCAGGGGGTCGCCTGCCGTGCCCAAAAAGTAGGGATCTTTTCACTGCCTTTTTTTTTTCCAGCTGAACGGTAGGGGGTACACGCCCTACCGCTGCCCCTCGGAGGGGATCTTTTCGCTATCGTCAGTCGGGGTGGGTGCCTCCGGGGAGGCAACACAAGAGGATCAACCAGAGTTTATAAAGAGGTCGCCCTATCTCAAAATCGGCGAGGTGGGACAAAACTCCATTGCGGGATGGATTCAGTCCGAGCCGAAGCGCGCCGTCGCGGACCGGCCTAGGAGTAGAGGCGAGGCGTACCTGCTCTCCACGGAGGGCCCGGCGGCGAGGGGCGCCCGTCGATCTGGCCGGAGGCCGGAGCTGCAGCTTCGCGCCGCCCGGCCTCCGCCGCCGCCGTCGCCGATGCCGCGGTGAATACGCCCGACGGATCTGGATCCTCCTGGAGCTTCGAGGGTTCATCCGCAGCCGGCTGCTCGCCGCCGGACGTCGGGAAGCGCCGCCATCGGGGAGGAGAGTGAGAGGCGAGAATCGCGAGATGGAGTGTATGATATGGCCTGCAAGTCTCTGCTGGGCCATGTAGCTTTGTCACGCCTCAAGGCCCAATTCGTGGCTGGGCTGGAGTATTATTATTTTTCGGAATAAGTTCATCTAAGGTCCCTTCGACGAATCCGATTTTCGTCCTCCAACCACAAAAACAGATACAACGGGTCCACAAGTATCAAAACCGGTGCAGATTAGGCCCCTCGGCGGTTTTGACAGCGGTTTTAGCTGACGTGGCGCCTACGTGGCTAATTTGACTCGGTCTCGATCTGACGTGGCACTGACGTAGCGCTTACGTGACAATTCGATCTTAGAAAAATAATAAACCTCGTGGGATCCACATATCAGTTTCATACACAAATTAATAAAAGAATGGCGGGGCCCACATGGGCCCCACATGTCAGCCTAACTCACCCCTCCCCTTCCCTTCCTCTCTCTCCATCTCCCCTCTCTTCATCTCTCTTGCGCTGGGGATGGGCACCATGCGGCCGGCGTCCGCGAGAGAGCAGTCGACATACATCGTCCACCTCGCGCCCGAGCACCCGGCGCTCAGGGGCCAGGGCCACGTGCGGCGGCGGCGGCGGCGTGTTCCTCGGCCGCCTCCTCCGTCTTCCACACCATCTGCGCGCGTCGCGGCCACGGCTGCTCTACTCCTACACGCACGCGGCGACGGGGGTCCTCCACCTTACCCAAGCTTGGGCTCCTGCCCGCCGCCGCCGCCGCCGCCTCCACCGCCTCACCCGTCGTCGGGGTGCTCGACACCGGGATCTACCCCATCGGCCGCGGCTTCTTCACGCCCACCGACGGGCTCAGCCCGCCGCCCGCGTCCTTCTCCGGCGGATGCGTCTCCACCGCCTCCTTCAACGCCTCCGCTTACTGCAACAACCAGCTCATCGGCGCTAAATGCTCTCGGCCACGCCATTGATGAGACGGAGGAGTCCAAGTCGCCACTAGACACCGAGTGGGACACGGGACCCACATCGCCTCCACCGCCGCAGGGTCGCCGGTGACCGGTGTCGAGTTCGACTACGCGCATGGCCAGGCAGTGGGCATGTCCCCCGCCGCGTACAAGATCTGCTGGAAATCCGGCTGCTATGACTCCGACATCCTCGCCGCCATGGACGAGGCCGCCGCGGACGGCGTCGACGTCATCTCCCTCTCCGTCGACGCTGGCGGCTACGCCCCAAGCTTCTTCCGCGACTCCATCGCCATCGGCTCCCTCCACGCCGTTAGCAAGGGCATTGTGGTGTCCGCGTCCGCTGGCAACTCCGGCCCGGCGAGTACACCGCAACAAACATCACGCCATGGATACTGACCGTCGGCGCGTCTACCATCGACCGCGAATTCCCGGCTGATGTGGTTCTAGGCAACAACCAGGTCTACGGTGGCGTGTCCCTGTACTCCGGCGAACCCCTGAACTCCACACTGCTCCCAGTGGCGTACGCCGGCGACTGCGGGTCTCGGCTTTGCATAATCGGCGAGCTCGATTCAACGAAGGTGTCTGGCAAGATCGTTCTGTGTGAGTGTGGGAGCAACGCCCGCTCGCCGGCCGCATCTGGTGCCCATCCCCGAGCGCAAGAGAGATGAAGAGAGGGGAGATGGAGAGGGAGAGGAAGGAGAAGAGGAGGGGTGAGTTAGACTGACATGTGGGGCTCACGTGTGCCCCGCTATTTTTTATTAATTTGTGTGTGAAACTGACATGTGGGTCCCGCGGGGTATATTATTTTTTCGGATTGAATTGCCACGCAAGCACCACGTCAGTGTCACATCAGATCGAGACCGAGTCAAATAAGCCACGTAGGTGCCACGTTAGCCAAAACCGCCATCGAAACCGCCGAGGGACCTAATCTGCACCGGTTTTAATAGTTGAGGGACCCGTTGTATCTGGTTTTATGGTTGAAGAACGAAAATTGGATTCGTTGACAAGTTAAGGGACCTTAGATGAACTTATTCCTTATTTTTCTTCCAAGGTTTGTTGTTTGTGTACATGTTGTTTGGTTTGCGGTAACCAGAAATTATTGATTCGTAATTTTTTAAGATAATAAAAGCTTTATTAAAACTTAATCAATTACAACAAGATGATACTGAACTCACATATGATGTACACATCCAAATGAACCAAACACTCTTCCCAAGCATAAAAGAAGATAGAGATTAATGACTTTCAATCCATATAGTAAATCCATATACTAGATCGTCACCCATGTTTCTTGGTAAAAAAAACTCACGTGCCACCTAATCCAACTATCATGATATCACCACAATAGTATCCCGAAATCATGATTTATGAAGAATAGCCTACGTATATAACCACCGGGTAACTAATATAATAACATGTAAAAGAAAAGACACCATCTTGTTATTACAAACGATTCCGTTCATGCTTAGCCAAATGGATCAACAATTGCACCCATCAAAATTAGATTTTCCATCTCTTTAGGAACACATAAAATCCATCTCCCAAACATATATATACTAGAAAAAAAATACCCGTGCGTTAAAACGGGTAAAGTCATTTTTTCAACTCGCATATCCTACTACCGTCTTCAACCTCCAGAAAGTAGAAAGTACTCCCGTGCCCGTAAAATATCGGAACTGATCCTCCCCATCAAATTCGACCGAATCTTTCTTGATCTCCCAAAATTGATATATGGCTTTTGATCTACTCGATCTCCTCTTTCCCATTTTTCCAAAATTAGAGCAAATCAAACTAATCGATCGGCCATTATCAGCGGCGGTTAAATAGAGATTAAATTTAGCAAATTAAAGCCAGAATTGAAATAAGAAATCATGGGGAAAATGATGATGGAGGAGTGGAGAATTGATTTTTACGATCAATTGTAGGAGAAAACGTACATGAGTTAGATTGATGTGGCAACCGCGATAGATAGATTGATCCCAAATATTTATTGCGTAGCAACTATTGCCACATTTCATCGGTGGTAACTGGTAAGTAACCACTTGCTAAGCAAAGCAATAACCTTAATCCCAAGATCGTGAATTCCTCGCCTCCCTTGGTCTCTGGGAAGATAAATGATGTCCCACTCAGCAAAGCTGGTGTTTCCTTCTTATATCCATCCCCTTGCGAATAAAATCTTAGTTGGCTCTGCTCCATGTACTTCGATTTTTTTTCTATCACATACGCACCACCACGACCATCATTAACCGTAAATACAATCATTTAGTCCTGGTTGGTAAGATCATTTTTTTTGTCCCGCTTCAAAAAGTTGATAGGCCGTGTCAGGCCCCAAGGATCTTTAGTCCCGATTGGTATTATAAACCGGAATTAAATATCATCACTTTAGTCCCGATTGGTAGCACCAACTGGGACTACAAATCCGAAAAAACACGCCGGGTCGCACGTGTGCGCCTCCCCGCCCTTATCTCCTCGATATCTCCACGCCTTTTTAAGTCATTTGCGTCTCCTCCTCTCCCTCCAGATGCGTCCTCCCCTACCCTTCCTCCTCCTCCTCCCCCTCCCCTCCCCTCTCTGTCGGCGACGGCGTGACCAGGAGGGGGAGACGCGGCGCCAGCTGCGGTGGGGGAGGGGGCAGCGGCCCCGTCGGCGAGGTCTGTGAAAATTAATAGGTATGTGGAAAAAAAAACTCGTCAAAGTAAACGACATGTGTATGTTACATAATGCATTTAGTAGGGATGGTGATATGTTTGATGAATCTAGGTCTTGCATCAAATTGGGAGTAACTTATTTACATATATTGTACATTAGTAAGTTCTTTTTTAGTAATAGTAACTGATATATGAATATCAATTAACCCTTTAATATAAACAACTTTGTAGGTATTGGTATTTCTAATGCTCCTACAAAAAAGTTTCCTAAGCACGTGAAATTACCGATGTAGTACTTCAAGGAGTATTCCGTGGTATCATATATATTGATATCCCAAAGGATGCACGAATGGCCTAAAACATTCATTCCTCCTACCTTATTAAGTCAGGTAATAATAGACAATTCACAACACGAATGGCACTAGGTAAAAGCATCTATCTAATTGAAGAGATCTGGAGAAGACTATCGGAGTCAAAAGGTATTTTGGCACGACCAGAACCACTTTAAAAGATTGCTTACTTTCGGCACATGGAAACGTTTCCATTGTGGGTGAGCGGCTACCCTGATTTTTAACACCAATGCACTAGAATTAATGTGCGCGTAAAGGACAAACGGGTTATCACCAATCTAGTGACTATGTTAGTTCCTCTCTCTAGCTAACATTTCTAGGGAATATACTACAACTTATACCAAAATACTCCTCTAATCAGTCAGAAATCCCAGACAAAGCTAGGTGAATTAATTCTAAAACAAGAAACGCAGAAACAAAATAATAATGTTTATAATCTATGAAACCCGCTGATCAACTAATCGGTTGATTGGATCAGGAGAACTCTCCACAATAGAGTAATTACAGGAAAGAAGGTGTGGAAAGTACACGGAGAGAAAGTAAATATGGAAGCAAAAAATATATTAATCAAAATGTATGAAATCTGAAAGATACATGATGGTTAGGGATGCTACTACAAATCGGACGTCCGATCTATTGCAAAAGATCGGACGGTGTTGCCTATCACAGAGTGTTTCACATGTTGCACCACTCGATGAAAAATGTTTCAGATGTTTCATCGATCGAGGAAAAATATTTCATTGCTTGAACAAAATTGTTTCAATCAAATGCAACATCTGAAATAGTCTGGTTGCAACACTAAGAATCAGTAAAATGCAACACTGAATCAAAACAAAATAAAACACCTTAATACAATAAAGTGCAACCAAATAAAATAATATGTTGCAACATCACTAAAACTCCAATGAAATAAACCCACCTTCGTCATCTTCTTCTACCCCTAGCTGCTAGAACCAAGTAACTGATGTTTGCGGGAGAAGAATAGCGGCACGATGTGGATAACCTCGCCCAAGACCGGTTGAGTCCTCACCGACAGCCAAATCTAGCACCTCTGCCACGTCGCCGCCGCTGCTGTGTAGCCGCCAGCAAGGTCCAGTGCCTCCTCCCCAATCTTGCGTTGTCTACACCCCGCCGTCGTGTGGCCGCCAGCAAGGTCCAGCACCTCCTCCTCAATCCCGCGTTGTCTACCCTGTCGTGTGGCTGCTAATGAGGTCCATCGCCTCCTCCCTACCACATACCACCTTGCCCCGCCACCGTCGTGTGGCTGCCGATGAGGTCCATTGCCTCCTCCCAACCACGCGCCGCCATGTGGCCGCCGGCGAGGTCAAGCACCTCCTCCCTATCGCGCGCCACCTTGCTCCGATGTCGACGCCGCCGTGTGACTGCCGACAACGATGCCTCGCCATGGCTTGCAACTCCACTGTGTAGAGGCGTTGAGAAGAGAGAGACTTTGAGGAGAGAGAAGAAGGCATGAAAGGGAATGTGTGGTGGAGGAGGTGGCTGAGAGATTTGGATAAGAACAAGCGTCCGATATTTTGAGCTCATCCGGACATCAACGAAACATTTTCGGTTGGTTACCGATACTCTGACGACAACTCCTCTGAATCAACTCAACTCCTAACCATATTCCTTCTATATATTCTCCGAACTAGAATCGGCAAATCCGATTTAAGCTACACTTCAAAAGTAGTAGACTTTTGAAGTGGAATGAGCTGAGTTGTACGTGTGGAGTGAAAGTGAGGGAGGGGTATTTATTGATGGGATGACCACCGGGACATATATATAGTAGACATATGTATTTGGTGTTCTGTAGTAGTATGCTGAGGACCAACACACGAAATTGTGTATGGTTGCCTGATACTTCCTCCGTTCCTAAATATTTGATGCCGTTAATTTTTTTAAATATGTTTGACCGTTCATCTTATTCAAAAACTTTTGTGAAATATGTAAAATTATATCTATACATAAAAGTATTTAACAATGAATCAAATGATAAGAAAAGAATTAATGATTACTTAATTTTTTCAATAAGACGAACGGTCAAACATATTTAAAAAAGTCAACGGTGTCAAATATTTAGGGACGGAGGGAGTACTTCTGCGTATTGCAACAAAAATTTTCCATCCACCGATAGCTAGACTAATTTGTTTTTCTTTCTTGGTACCCTACGGAACAAATCACCTATTCGATCAAGACTGAAGCAGGGTTTCATGTACATGTAAAAACCGAGTCTATAAATACCATGCATTCACAATCACTCACAGTTCGTTTCATGTACTTCATGAACGACCATTAGCTTTTATATTAACGAGGAAAAAGAGGATGTAACAATGTCCATTTCATTCCAGTTATTAAACACGGATAATCAAACGACTGTAGCAACATATCGTGACACACTAATTGGCCAGCAAAAGCCCGTTTATTTTACATACTGTAACATACTTTATGAAAAGTGCAAGGTGCATATCACCCTCCCATACACAAAAGCACAATAAATATATAAGAATATAATCAGTAGTTGTTCTCCCAGAACTGAGATTGGAGCCAATCAATTAGCTTCTTTTCCACCTGAAACGCCTTGGTCAGAACATCATCGGAGATCGGTGGCTGTGAGCCAAACACCGCGCTTGCAATAGTAATAACTCCAGGGTTTTGGCTACTGAGTGCTGATTGGGCAACTGCTGGCTTGTCATGATCTAGGTTCATTTGGAAGTGAATCATTGCCTTAGGGAACACAAACACGTCACCCTTACAAACCACCTTAGAGAAGAGCTTGTTTGGGTTGGACGTGACAAAACCAACATAGAGTGTTCCCTCAAGCACGGTAAGGAGCTCAGTAGCACGGGGATGTATGTGTGGTGGGTTCACACCCATTGGCGCGTAGTCGATACGAGCTAGTGAGATGCCAAGGGTATTGAGACCCGGAAACTCCATGACGTTGAGGTTGGTGACGTTGGACCCGAGCTTGTTAAAAGTATTCCTTGGCATATCAAACTTGGCTGCATTGAAGAAGTCTTCCGAGCTCACATCCATTGGATTCTTGCAAGCAAATCCATTCACTCGCACTGTTTGCATATATAGAGGAATGAATGTAACATGTATATATTTCCAAAGGTCAATAAATATTAAATATGCATGTCAAAGTTTTCAGTAATCACAACTACCATTCTTCTCTAGTACTGTCACCATGTAACAACATACAATTTCGGATCCAGCAGTGATAATATATATGCTACCAAAGATAAGGACAACAATTAAGATATGACAGCTGCTCGTAGGGTGCGTGTGGTTTATAGGGGTGAGTGTGAGTGCATGTATATAAGTGTTTTGCGTCTGTACTGTGTTTAAAAAGACAATTAAGTGAAGTGCAAAACATACACACACCAGGTGAGTTCATGTCTGCAACGCAGAAATCTTGGAGCGGGCTAGGATCATAGGCGACGATGGCCTGCCATGAGGCCAGCACAAGAAGAGCACCCAGGAGAAATAAGGAAGAGGAGGCCATTGTATCTCTCTCTGGTAGTTAGCTAGCTATTTTTACTAGCTCCTCTCCCTGTGGTTATCGTTTGAGACTTTGAGTAAGATGCTTTGGTTATTGAGGGGTTGCATGTGATTTTATAGCCGTATGCAGAGGTCGTCGAGGAGCGTGGTGACAGAAAAATAATTGCTTGCGTGCAAAGATCAAGTTAACTACATGTACGGGAGCTGACCAAAATTAAAGTGATTGAAAAGTACTTTTGGCTACAGTCGTTTATCAAACCGTTATGTCACTTGTAAGCTGTAACCTGTAGAAAAACAACTATTTCCACATGCATCGAGCGGCAAGGAGAGAACCATTTGGCGGTCCTCTTAACAAAACTCTTGTGATGATCTCATTTTCATACACGGCTCTCTTAAGAAACCAACCAAGAAAATAATTTTCCAATTTTTATTTTTATAGGTGAAAAAACCATAAAAAAAAGTTCACATTTTACTATACATCTACACACAAATTTTCACACATGTAGCATATAGGATTCAAATTTGGGGCTCATACGTTACATGTTAGCCTTGTTAACATCTCCCGCTAGTGGCGATGTCGAGGAAGCAGGCGGTGGCGGCAACTTTGTGAGGCGGCTGCCAAAACTCAGCCACCTCCGCGCCCTCAAGCCTCCCCAGCCGGCAGATCCGCCGCCCACCAGTCTCGCTGCTGCCCACGCGCCTTGGCCATCGCAGCTGCCATGCGGCTATCGCCGAGAGACGATGGGATCTAGGCGCCGACGGCGGATCCACACGAGCATGAATGACGGCTTGGAGCCGGTGGATGATCTAGTCGGCGACAACTCGGGTGGAAGACGGAAAGACGCGGAGAAAGACTAGATCATCGCCGTCCACTCTCTCGCGTCGCCAGAGATTGGATCAGGGAGAGTAGGGAAGAAAGGCAATTAGGGTTAGGGTTTTCGGACCCTCCCCTTCCGGCCGGCGATTTCATTGGCGCGGGACCAATCCAAGCTGTCCATCAGATCGGATGGGTCAGATCGGCCCCGCATCGGGCCGCCACCGCTATTGGGCCGTGCAGTCTTTGGGCCATGGAAGACAACTGAGCCGCGTGCCCTTTGCCGCGTGTCGGGCCGTCGCCGGTAGATGGGCCACTTGTAGTGCAATCGGCTCGCGCTAAACGGGCCGATCCGATTTTTTGGGTCAGTTACAAAAGTAATAGGTCGAAATAGAATTTTATTTAATTCCATCGATTTAATTTATTTAGTCGTTTACAAAATTTTCTTGGCATTATTTTGAGCCATTTTAAAATTGCTAGAAAATTATGAACGATTACTTGATCACTATTATTGTCATACTATACCGCTTAAAAAATCGTTCAGTTAAACTTTATCCAACGCGACATTACCCGGTGCAACGCATGGGCATTTTGCTAGTGACATCAAAAGAATAGTCATCAAATCTAGAATGGTTGACCTCGTCGAGTTATACAATTTTGATATTGAGAATCATTACACTAGATTGGGTCATCGGTGACAGGCTCAAACTGTCACCTCTAACGGGTAGGGCGTTGGTAAGAGATGAGTGGTTAGTGATGACTAAACTTATCTTTGACGGCTAAAGGCACGTCACTAGTATGAATCACCTCTGACAGATTACAAATGACAACCCGTCACAGGTAATGTTAACCCCCTTTTAACTTGTCGCGTCACAACCCGTCACAAGTGAGTTACATGTGACGAGTAGCACAATGCGGCCCATCAATGCTGCTGGTTACCTGTGAAAAAAATGTTCTTTTGCTAGTTGTAGTTGCATTCATCTCACAGATTCACACATGAAGGATGAAAGAAATGCATCATAGAATAGGTTTACATGTAAATCAACTTGCACTGGCAACAGTTCTAAGCACATCATGAAATCAAACAATTTGGGCATCACAAAAATCAACAGAGGACACGGTGAGTAAATGAAAGATAGGGGGACTTGGCTGTGACAAGGAGATCCTAAAGTTCCAAAGGAGAACCAATCATGTCAAACTCTGCAAAGAAAGCGTAATCAATCAAACCGAATCATTACGAAAGATGAATCTAGCAAAGGAGGAGAGAAAGACTAACCATTTCTGATAAGATTTGACCTCCTGAGCACCGTCGTTGCATCCACCTCCACCTCCCAAGCGCCACCATCTGTCCCCACCGGATCTGACCGCTGCGAGGTCAAGGACGGTCAGATCCGGTGATCCCTGACCTCGGGTAGACCGATTTGGAGGTGGAAGGGCGAACGGTGTTGGGACCTTCAAAGGCGGACTCCACCCCCGAGCTCCTTCCGGCGTCGACACTGTCTCTGACCCCGAGCACCCGCGGCCTCTAGCTCCGCCCCCAATCTCCCACCGTCTCCGCCTTCACCTCCATGCTTGACCTCCCACCGTTGCCACCATCTAATCCCACTGGATCCGATCGCCGCGAGGTTAGGGGCTGTCAGATCCGGTGACCCCTGTCCTTGGGTAGGCTAGATCTAGAGGCAGAGGGGAGGACGGCGTTGCGACCTCAAGAGAAGGCCTCCACCGCCAAGCTCCTACCGGTGTCGACGCGGCCTCCAACCCCGAGCAACCGCTGCCTCTAGCTCCAGCCCCGATATCCCACCGCCTCCGCATCCAATCGACGCCAACACCGGTCCCGCCTCTACCTCCGCCTCCGGCCCCTTTCCCATCGATGCCTCCGCTAACGAACTGAGAGGAAGAGAGAGAGGGGGGAGATTGAGAGAGAGAGAGAGAGGGGTTGGGGAGAGAGAACTTAACGAATTTGGTTGTCGGTGGCATCCAGCTATGACAGCATGAAAAAAATACTCGTTAGAGATCCCTTTTGATCTTTAACGGGCTATACTGTTGATCTTGTCACAGGTAAGGGATCACCTATGACAGGCCTCTATCTGGGTCCGTCAAAGGTGTGGTCTGTCGGGTTCCTATATAGGCCCGTCACATATAACTATTTACCTGTGACGGGCCGTATTTTATAGCCTCATATCGAACGAACCCCAGTTGAACCCATCAAAGATAAGGTCATCTGTGACGAGGCACTTTGGCCCGTCACTAATAGGCCGTCACAGATGGGCCAATCTGGTGTAGTGAATGTATACGTCTGAAATAATTTGAAAAACATGGAAATTCGAATTTTAAAATAGGTCTACTAGGCAAACAGATATTTGGGCCCTACATGATCTGAAATGGAAAAAAACAATCAAATAAAAAGCTGTAAATATAATTGAGGGCTATAATTTTCATATAAATTTTACGTTCATCCGACTTCATATATAAAAGTTTAATTTTTTTTCTTGAAATATGGGTTTTCTATTTTTACCGATGGTTCTTTAAGATATCTGCCTATGAAGACCTGTTTTCTCTTTATTCTTCAAAAATTATGAACTTTAAAATTATAAAAAAATATTTTAACGTCCACCTGAGATGATACAAAGTTGTTTATTATGTTATAGTGTTTTCTTTAATATGGTAACGTCCATACTTCCTTAGAATATTTATTTTAATATGATTGTTCACTTACATGAGTTGATATATTATGCAACTTGATATTAGTGAATGACAATATTAAAGAATCTACTAAGTAAATATTGACCAATATCATGATATTGTTATTAATTTTTGGCACCCAATGATCTCAAATAATAGAAATTCCAACTATGAAGTTACAGATCTCATCGAGCTCTACAATTTGGATACAAATCATGTCTCTGTCTGAGGTTGTTCAAAATCTCAAAAAAAATATTTTTCTAAAAATATAGATTTGAGAGCTTCTAGCGAATATTTAGACCCCCTAAACAATCTCAAATGAAAAAAAAAATCAACTACAAAGTAGCTCGTGTCAAAGGCTATAATTTTCATATACAATTTGTCAGATCTAAATTAATATGAAAACTTTACGATCTCTTTTAAGTAGTATTACTCCCATTTCGTAGGGGTTCCTTGAGAGAATTTCCCTTAAGATTTTTAGACATCCCCTACAAAAATTACACAAATTTTAAGGTGGTGTGGAGGATCCTTACAAAAATCGCCTAAAAATAGGCATGATTTTACATATGATTTTCTTAAGTACCCACCTATTTCTATAGTTCACAGTCAGAAATTTAGGCCGCCTTTGAAAAGGAAAGCCTAAGAATTGGGAAAATCATTTTTTATTGGTGTGCTTAACCTAATTGTGGGAAACTATTTTGATCCTTTGAGGGTAAGTTGCCTCGTTTGTCTGAAACCATTCAAATAGTTATAAAAAGTTCTCAAAAAAATTGATAATATTCATAAAACATATATATACCATACCAAAGAATCTTAGGTCCAAATTAAACTCAGCTCACACATTATGATATATATAAAAAATTCCTATATGAATAGTAGTGGTGCTATTCGTACTGGTATTTGTATTTCTTTTGTCAATTTGTAGGTTGAATTTAAAATTGATTTTTGTAGTAATTAATACTAGAGGAGCGTAGACAAGTGTGGGGCAGCTAGCTTGGCTCTAGTCTTAGACCCAAAATCTCTAATAAAATCTATCAAAATATTAACTCTTAAGATAAACTAATTTGTTAAGAGCACATCATCAAGCCCTAAGAGCTAGTGATCAAAGATTTATTGGCTCTGTTATTGCCAGGGAACATCCCATTCCCCCTAATTGTTCTTTAAATACTTCCTGCATGTTAGTCGGCTTGAAGAAGTTTCCATTGAAATTTATGCATGTCTGCTCTACTGACTAAACTAATTAATCCATCCTTTCACTAGGTACTGTGCTTCGGTTACAGCTCTATCTTTCTCAAAGTAGGACACATGCATGCATCTTGGGGTCAAGTCGTCGATCGGATTAATTCAGTTACAGCTCTATCTTTCTCAAAGTAGGACACATGCATGCATCTTGGGGTCAAGTCGTCGATCGGATTAATTCAACTAGTAGCTCATGGGTCGTCATTATGTTGATTGACGACCTAGCTAGCGCGTTTGCTCACTGCTCATGATGCTTACATGAAGCCTAGCAAACCCTTCCATTTCAACAAATTAAAGAGTAGATAGCTATGCAGTGCATGCCCATGGCCAACTTGTGTGTCTCATGGTACGAGGTAGCTACATATACT